CCCCCCGCAGATCCAACCCAAAAGAAATTTTGCTTTAAAAAAAAAAAGCCGTCAGTTGCTTCAAGTCAACCGTTGCACACGTAATTCAATCTTAACGCATTAAGCTGTCCAAGGGGAAAAAAAAGAAAAAAGTATATTTTTAAAACACGATCACGTCAATATGCAAAACAATATATTTTTATCCCCCTTAACAGCTCAGCAAACTCTCTCACTTGACATGACTACGATAAACTCTGCAACGAGCTCAGCTCAAAGAAAGTGAAATAACGAGTTCGCCTGCAAGGCCAACTACAAGGTAACGTGTCGCATTTTCCACCAGTAAATATAGGTGTAAGGTGGCTATTTCAAAAATCGCCTGCTGGCGAGGGAGATCACATAAAAGGAGGATAGTGCATTTGCATTGGCGTCTCGGAACTCGCAAAATCAAGATTGTTTCCTGCTGTCTGATCCAGAAGTAATTAAAGTGTCCGTCTCAAGTCAGGTCCAAACGAAAAAGTGAAAGCCTCGCTGTATCTAGTTTCGTTCTAGTTCCATTTTGTTAGTGCTTTAATAGTTTTCCTCCCGTATTATTTCGTCGTGTTTCGTCGATGATTTCGGCCCTGATATGAAATCAAAGCGAGCACTTTTGAGTCGTTAGTTATATTTTAAAACTTTTGAAAATGTTTCCTGTATTGGATTTGAAATGTAAAGCTTCTATACCTTCCAGAATGCCACTTTGGCACTTGTCCTTTTCCATCACTCACCCTCGTCTCTGTAAGCACATGTTATGCAAATGCCGTATATCCATTACAGGACACAAACTTAAACTCCCTTCTAACGACTTTTAAGAGGTTAAAATCTTACCCTTTTACGAGAGTACTTCTTCCTTAAAGAAACAGACAGGCGTGGCTTATAGAATGCAGCATGGGTCACTCCTGTTCATTCCTAAAACAAGCAGCTGAAGCAATGAATGAATGGGGGCGGCCGTGGGAACTATTAATGAACACCCATGACAACATGATTGTTGCTCCTGCTGTCTTTGAAAGGGGCGAGGGGTGCGGGGGGCTATTTGTAATAGTATAGTGATGTTCTTGTGAAATGTAGTTAAATGTGAACGTTGTGTGTATTTTTGTCCTCAAAGATGGGTTTAGCCAAATAAAGTAAAACCAAAATTAGAGGGATGACACTTGTACGGGAGTAGGTACAAAACAATTTGGAGTCGCCATAGACCGGACTGCTTTTGGGGTGAAGCAGATAACACAACGAACTATGCAATGTTACATGTAGTTGGTATAATTCGGGTTTATTTATGTTTCTCATTGTCTTTCGGTAAGGAGCTGTTTCAACGAAATACCAGTCCGTGATGAGTTTGGGAAACAAAGCAGGATGTAAAAGTTCGTTATTTCTGATTCGAGAAAAATTAAATGTTAACGAAACAAACAAAAATAAACAATCAAAATAATTAAAGCGGATACAAATATAATTAAAGACTTGAAAAGAGAAAGGGAAGAAAGCGATGCAGAAGCATATGCCTTAGAACAACTCGACAGGGAAAAGGTAGGCAAACATACCGATGAAGTAGTCAATAAGGAAAAAACGTCTAAACAAATAAAAGGGGGAAAAAAGAGAAAGTATGAAGATCAAATCACTGGCGCAATGGTGTTTCGCAAAGGCCCCAAAAGGTGATCGTAAACAAGCTCAACAAGTTAAATACAAAAAGCTCTTAGAAGTGTCATTTACGAATTTTCGATTGGTTACACAAACAAAAAATAAAACTGCACGCGTGCGCACATGAGATTTCGGACTATCAAATCCGTTGTGGTGCGAAATCTTTCCACAAATTGTGTTCATTTTTATGACCGCTATTTCATTGGTACGTACTCTAATATAAAAGAGAGAGAGAGAGAGAGAGAGAGAGTGAGTGAGTGAGAAAGAGAGAGAGAGTGAGTGAGAGAGAGAGAGAGAGCGAGAGAGAGAGAGTGAGTG